CCTTAGAAACAATCTCTTCTTTTTCATTTTGCCTTTCAGAATTTGTCAACGTCTGATTTGTAATGTACGTGCTTCTTTTGCTTGTTAGTCCCTTAAAAGCCTTAGTCAAAGTTTAGCCTCACACCAAGTAAAGGGAATTCGTGTTTGTAAGAACTCTGAAACCATTTCCACAATGTATTGTTTTGTTGAAGGGATGTCTAGATGGTCCGACAAAACCAGCAATGGCGATGAGACAGGAAAAGGTTTGGGTAAACTATTGGAGCTGTCTTAGACTAACTAATGTTTCTTGATTAGGATATTCGAAAAAAAGGTTTCGCCTTTTAAGAAAAAATAGCATACCCACCAACATCTTTCTATATGATTTGTAGATTTATGTCTATGTTTTTGTACTTGTGTATCTATTTGCTCCATCGTCCGACGATCCCATGATTTGGAAACTTCTTCCAAAGACCGTCTCTAAGATGTATATATATGCTTTCTGTGTTCTGTTCTCTGTTTAAATTATGTATCTGCTGTTTATTTTGCATTCACTTCTCCTATAACGTTGTGGTTTGGCTCCATTGACCTTTAGTTATACCATTTTTCATCCTTTTGCATCAAATTCTAGAGATTAACTCAGACTATCTCTCTGCAGCACCTTTTTACCAAATGCAGCAGTATTACCGGGTTGGAAAACTTGACGATTGTACTCAGAAGTTCTCTGATCTCTTTGATTGTCTTTCATTGAAGACGAAAAGAGCTTCTGAAGTCGAGGTTTGTAAATTCCTTGATCTTACAGTAGGTCTATTCTTCATTACTTTTGTATGCTCAAGAGGATGAAACATTAGCATCGTATATTCGGTATCTGATAGACTGGCTAACTTCGATTAACTATGCCTTGGAGTTTTCCAAATCACAATCTTTTGAATCATGATTCAAAATCGATTGTACCTGGTTCAGCTCTTTCTTGGCGCATCCTCTGCACCATGTCCAATGTTTCCTCTGTTTATGCATATAAATGTTTCGGTTATGTTCCAAGAAATATAAGCTTTGATAATTGCAGAAAATTCTGGAAGAGCGAGAGAAAGAAGATGCGGCAAAACATATCTGGATTATGCGAACAAAGGAAGAAGCTTCAAGGCATTGGAACGAAACTTTTGGGCATTTGGATGATCCAAATTGTTAGAAGGAACAGCTTCGCGCTCTACATTCTCCACTGCATTCTTGATGGACATTTTTACTTTCAAAAGACTCTATTTCTGCTAGAGATCTGCAGATTATTCTGTTGGGTAGAGAAGGGTTTTGTCATCGGTGACCATGAACATTTTTGAGGTAATAAGTTATGGCCCCAAGCTCCAAAGAAGCGCACTTCGAAAGATGGAGTTGTCTTTAGAGATAATTTTAGTGGAGTGTGGATATATCTGGTTTATTGGTAACAACTTGGAAATGACCTTGCTAAACGAAATGTTACATCTGTTAACAGAAAGGTACTTTTTATTGAGAAAGTTGGAAAAACAAAATTACATATTACAAAGTTTAACTATTTTTTATTTTTAGTCAGTGGTATCAGTAAGCCAAGGAGTTTGTGCAAGTGTTTAGTGTTTTTCCTTTGGAACGATGTCTTTTTGAAGCTGAAGAGATTAGCGTAGAATGGTGATGCTCAACATTTGAAGCGTCCATCAGAGTTGTCTAGTCTGTTACTGAAGTTGCTTCTCCCGAGTTAGCTGTTACAACTTTCCAAGTTAAAACAAAGCTCATGTTAGTCTCTTGAACAAGCAAATGGAGATTCTTGTTGTGGGTCCTAACCGTTGGTGTACTTAAGGCTAACCAAATGGAGAGCTGTTTCTTTGTTAAGAGCCGTTGTATGTCATAAAGCCACCATTGTCTGAATTTCACTCTTTGGTGGTCAGCTTCTGAAAAATGCAGCCTTTTGTCTTTCAATGAGATGCTCTGAGTTCACAACCAAGTGATGCTCTATAGTTCGGCATATCCCATTTTTGCGACATGCAGTATTAACCAGTACCATCATGAAAACCATTTACAATTATACCAAATATGTGCTCTGCATATAACTTAATTCCAAATCCATTCATAATCAGATGTTTAAACTATGGAGCAACAAGTAGAGTACTACGTCGTTTGAGTCTTGGGTGGTAGCAACCACACACTTGAACGACTCTTGTCCACCACAATTTGCTTCGACTTGATGGAAAACTACACTAACGAATCCACCAGTGATGATGATTCTGCTCTTCCACCGTCCCTCATGGCGTTGCTCGCTCTCCCTCGTTTCCGTCGGATCAGCCGATCCAGATGTTGTTTGTCTCCGTCACCGAAAGAACGTTCCGCGGCGGTTGTGTGGTTGAAGCATGATCTTCGTCTTGACGATCATCCTGGCTTCCTCCTCGCCGCCTCCGACTACAAATCCGTCATTCCTCTCTACGTCCTCGATCCTCGCATCCTCTCCCGTAAGCTCTACGAATTACACATTTGCCTAATCGAATGGATGCAAAAATCCCCAATTCGCAACCCTCGCTCTATTGGGAATCTGATATAAACAGCTTATCCGTGTAGGATACACGACGGACTCTCTAGAATTAGCTATTATTGCATTGGAAGATTTGAGAAAATCCTTGAAGAAGCAAGGTTCAAATCTTATGCTCAGATACGGCAATGCAGAAGATGTCATTGAAGATCTTGTCAAAGAGGTAGTATGGTAATTGAGCATTTTTGACGATTCTCAGGCAAGATAAACCACTTACTGCATTGTAACAGGTCCGAGCTCCCTTTGTCTTTGTGGAAGAAGAGGTGGAATATCATCTCTGTGAGGTTTTGGACGATGTTAAGAAAAAATTGGAAGGCGTTTCTGTTCATGGAGAATCACCGAGGATTGTTGTGTGGCGGACTCCTTTTTATGACATTCAAGTAATTTGCTTCTCTTGCAATGTTTGTTTCTGCCTTCAGATTCAGAAGCAGTTACTTCACTTGTATGAGAGATTTTTCGGTCCTCCAGGATTTGACGGATCTGCCACAATCATGGGAAGAGTTTAAGAAACTGAAGCTGCCTCTCACTTTACCAGTTCCTGCAGCAAGATTTTCATCTCCAGGAAGTGAATTGCAGTGGGGTAGCCATTTAGCTGAATCTCTTGTTTGAGTAGTTTCATTAGATATCTGATTCTGGACTCTTTTAACGGTAGGGGACATGGTAAATGAAACATGCTTCAGGTCCTGTGCCAACGCTGGATGAACTCAAGGACTATATGAAGGAAAGTTCTTGTGGACAAGAAAATTGCTGGAGGGAAATGGCACATGCATCTGCTGAAAAAGTATTAATGGAAAGGCTTGGAAATTCAAAGGGGAGTAGTATGGAGCCAGTTATTGATGGAAGATTAGGGAAGAAGGTGCACAAATCTGCTTTTGTCACGAGAAAAAGAGATACTATTGGAGGTGGAACTGAGGTTGTACTGAATGCTCTAGCAGGATATCTGAGGTACTCGGAGGGTACAAGTCGAGATGACTGGCAAGAGTACGTGGGTATTTTTAAATCTGATGCTGTTGTGCTTCCCATATTCATATAATGTGAAAGTTATAATGAATCTGGGTATATCTGATTTCTTGTTGAAGAATGATCAGCATTGGTTTTGGTACTGACCAGGGTTCATGAAAGGCTTCGTGATGCCGAGATTAGGCCCGGAGCTTCCTTTTTCAAACTTTTTGGACCTGTCCTCTGTCTTGGTATTGTATCCAGAAGAAGAGTTCACTATGAAGCAATCAACTATGAAAAAGAACGGAATGCTGGATTTTTATCCCCATTTGGATATTCAGCTGCTACAGTGTCCGCTGCAACTGAAGCTGTGTGCTCTATGGAGGTAGAAAGCGTCATAGCGTGGTTTTCTCTATGCTCTTACTCTCTCTTATCCAAGATATTTGAAGTTCTTTTTTCTGGCAGTGGTATTCACTCCTGGCTCGAAATAGTGTGGGGATTGATGAAAATGCCCACTCTATTAGGATTTGGAGATGGAATGGCTATCTTATTCAGGTTTCTGTTATTAGTCCCGGTGGCTTTCATTGGTCATTTTTGTAATCGATTTACTGAATCTAAATAAAAGTCATTTCTTGTCTCAGTACACGGTGGTGGGCAATGATGGCCCTGCCGTTCTTCTTGTGCATGGCTTTGGTGCTTTTCTAGAGCATTATCGTGACAACGTAGACAGCTTTGTAAATAGTAAAAACCGAGTATGGACCATCACAGTCTTGGGTTTCGGAAAATCTGAGAAGCCAAATATCATTTACACCGAGTTGTTGTGGGCTGAATTGCTGCGGGATTTCATGACTGAAGTAGTTGGTGAACCAGCGCATTGCGTAGGCAACTCCATTGGTGGTATGCACCTGAATTTACTGAGCTGTTATATGTGTATAAAGGGCACAAATGTTTTATCATACTCATCTGATCGTGTCCATATGATTAACTTTATCAGGGTATTTCGTTGCATTAATGGCTTTTCTTTGGCCGACCTTGGTTAAGTCCGTTGTCCTTGTTAACAGTGCTGGCAATGTGATACCTGGATACTCTCCTTTCCCAATCTCTAAAGTATGTATCATTGGAATGCATTAATATCTCTAACTGACTTTCAGATTTTGTTTTGCAAAGTGAAGAGTTTTGGCTCAGAAATTTAACTAATTATCTCATACATCCTACTGGTTTGTTTCAGGAAAGACGAATTCCACTGGGTGCACAGCTTGGTGCTCGGCTCCTTCTCTTGTTCCTGCAATTCAATGTCAAAAAGCTATTAAAGGATTGTTATCCAGTTGTAAGTAATATGAAGATTTCTACGTGAGTATGACAATATATCAATGCTCATCATTGTGCTTGTTTAAGATGCAGAAACCTGAGAGAGCCGATGATTTTCTGATCACTGAAATGCTAAGAGCAGTATCCTTTTATTTATTTTGTTCCTTGTATTTTATTTGCATTAATTGATTCATGATCTAAAAATTATTGATGATAGTGACATAACCTTAAAAAGACAATAGTCCCGAGACCCTGGTGTGGTTATGGTCCTGGAAAGTATCTTCGGGTTTGATCTTTCGCTTCCTTTGAATTATCTCCTGAAAGGGTTCGAGGGTAAAACTCTTGTCATACAGGTATCGAACATTTATAGGATCCTCATTCTAACTTCTATTGAAGATCACACGACCACTAATCATTAGTTTCATTTATGTATTAGGGAATGAAAGATCCCATTTCGGATCCGAAGAAGAAAGTGGCCTTATTGAAGGAGCTATGTCCAGCTATGATGATAACGGAAGTTAATGCAGGTAAACAAAAAAACCCTATATGCCACATTTCAAGTTAAACAAGGTCACTGACCCCACGTTTAAGTCCATATTCACAACTCTATATCATTCCTCTTGATTCCTTGATGGTCTCGTTTGCAAGTACAGGTCACTGTCCCCACGATGAGATCCCAGAGGAGGTAAATCTAATTATCTGCGAATGGATAATGAAGATGGATAACGGTGGACAAGCACTAAAGACCTCATCCCAGCAGATTCATTTACCACAGTAATAAACAAAACTAAGAATTTGGTCAGCAGAAAGCAAAATGTTAATAGTTGTCATCATAACCCATAAGTTAAAAATCAATTAAAAGGAACCGTTATTCTTTTTTTTTTCTGAATCCTACGATGTCTTAAAGTTTGAATTTAACAAAGGCAGCAATAATCTCTGACGACGAGTGTGAAGGATTTGTAGACACTGCTTTGGGAGGCCACAAACGACAAAGCGTTGGGTACTCAAAATGAAAAACTGCACGTTGTCTTTTACTTGCGCTCCTCCACCATCTTCATGGTTTTTGACCTAATCTAATTTATTTTGATTTTTTCGCAGGTTGCTTAAAAACTTGAAAGCAATTAAAACATAAAACGGTGTGGTGGCGAGTACGTTGAATAATTTATTTTTTGGCGCACTGCTTCTCACCCCCCTCCCCATTATTTTATCCTCCGTGATCCGTTTTCCGAAGAGTTGTTGCTGCAATCTCAAAATCGAAACCCGGAAACTAGGAAGAAGAAGACGACGACGACGAAGAGATGTGGAGACGCGTTGCTTTATTTTCTCCGATGATGAAGAAATCTTCATCGTCTCGATCCCTTACGCTTAACCAGGTACGACGTTCTCCTCTTCGTTTTCCCAATCCCGATCGATTTTTCCTCCGGGAATCGTTGTCTGTTTGGTTGAATCTCTGATTTTGTGGTTTAAACTCAGTTGATTACTCTTGTTTCTGAATATTCTAGAAAGGTTTTGGGCTCAAAGTTGGGGAATCTTTTGCGACGGAGATAATTAATCCGGTAAGGAAAAGCTCGATCAATCAATCTCTTAATTGTGTGTTTTCCTGTATAAAYGTGTGTATCTCACAGGAAGAAGGAGTTTCGCCGCCGAAAGAGAAAGCTCCATTTATTACATTTGTACTAGGTAAGGTTTTCAATTCTGCTGTTTAATTTGTTTGAACGTAGGAGTTGGATCAATCTTTGTGTTTCCTGTGAAATTTGAAGATGATGATCAAGCACTCATGTTCAATTCATTTGTACATTTACGATGCTAACATTTGTATCAAACATTGTTATTATGTTCAATTCAACAATATTGAATTCAGTCTGATGGATTTGTTTACAATCTCAGGAGGTCCTGGAAGTGGAAAAGGTACACAATGCGAAAGAATTGTTGAGACCTTTGGATTGACACATCTGAGTGCTGGAGATTTGCTCAGGAGAGAAATCGCATTCAACACCAAAAATGGGTAGGACGATCAAGTTCTTATATTTCCAGTGTATCACTAAGAATGCTTCAAACGTTCAATCTAATCTTATTACGAGGGAGGGCGTTCTCAATTTTCAGGGCTATGATTCTGAACTTGATCAAAGAAGGGAAAATTGTTCCCTCAGAAGTCACAGTCAAGCTTATTCAGAAAGAGCTGGAATCGAGTGACAGCCGCAAGTTTCTCATTGATGGTTTCCCACGAACTGAGGAGAATCGTGTTGCATTTGAGCGCATAGTGAGTAGCGTAGTATCTATCTCAGTCTGTTCTTCCCTTCTTTTGCATGGAAATACGATTGGAACATGAAATAGTGCCTTGATACTATTGCAGATAAGAGCAGATCCGGATGTAGTTCTGTTCTTCGATTGCCCTGAAGAAGAGATGGTGAAACGCGTGTTGAATCGTAACCAGGTCCTTGTTTTTATAATACTCTTCCCCTGCAGAGTTTTCAGTTAACAGTGCCATGAAAACCGTTTCCTCGCTGTTGCAGGGCCGAGTTGATGATAATATAACTACAATGAAGAAGCGTCTGAAAATATTTGAGGCCTTAAATCGTCCTGTCATCGACTACTACGAAAATAAAGGAAAACTCTACACCGTGAGTAATTGATATCTTGGGTCTGAACATTTGGAGAATCTGATGATAAATGTTTGATTCAAATGCCTTATTTGATATTTTTCGTATACTTGATTTCATGTTTGGTGCAGATTAATGCAGTAGGAACAGTAGATGACATATTCCAACAAGTCCTACCCATTTTCTCTTCATTTGAGGTATGCACACACACTCTTGTCTGCATTTCAGTGCAAAATCATGACAAGATTTTGTGTTAACAGCTTCAATTTGTTGTGTGCAGCAATTGAAGGAGTGTCGGCATGTAAATCCAAAGTCACCTCTCGGTTCGAGTTTGGTAGAAAATTCTTCCTGACAAAAGACACTGAAATTTGTTCAGTACTCTCGAGTTTTGATTCGCTTTGCAATGCATTTGCATCGTTTGTTTGTAGTAAGGTGAAAAAAAACAAAAAGAAATGTAACTGCTTAACTACTTATAAATATATATGGTGAGTATTGATTCACAAACTCGAGAGAAACAGAAGAATTGAGAAAAGAGAAGATATGGTGAGTATCGTCCACAAACCAAGCTTCTATTATCCATCAGTATCGTCGTCTTCAATAAAAAAGAAACCCAGACACTACGAACAATTGAAGCAGAAACATTTTCAAGACAACAACAATGGATTCACTTCCCTTTCTTTCTCCAAACCATCTCCGACTCCTATCTTGATCGGAAAACAGTTGATCCACCGGACCCATCTCGAAGCCTTAGACGCTGTCGTTTCAGACCTCGAAACCTCCGCTCGAAAAGGCATCACGATCAACGAACCAGAGATCTTCGCTTCTCTATTGGAGACTTGTTACAGCTTGAGAGCTATTGACCATGGAGTTAGAGTTCATCGACTTATACCTGCTTATCTCTTGCGCAATAACCTCGGGATTTCATCGAAGCTCGTTAGGCTGTACGCGTCCTGTGGGTATGCGGAGGTTGCACACGAGGTATTCGATCAAATGTCTAAGAGAGAATCATCTGCTTTTGCTTGGAACTCTCTTATCTCAGGCTACGCGGAACTGGGTCAGTACGAAGATGCTATGGCTCTCTACTTTCAGATGGCTGAAGATGGCGTAAAACCAGACCGCTTCACTTTCCCACGCGTGCTTAAGGCTTGTGGAGGAATTGGGTCTATTCAGATTGGAGAAGCAATTCACCGTGATTTGGTTAAGGAAGGTTTTGGATACGATGTCTATGTACTCAATGCTCTTGTTGATATGTATGCAAAATGTGGCGACATTGTTAAAGGAAGGAATGTTTTTGACATGATTCCTCACAAAGACTACGTCTCCTGGAATTCCATGTTGACTGCTTATCTTCATCACGGATTGTTTCACGAGGCGCTGGACATTTTCCGTCTGATGATTCGAAACGGGATTGAGCCTGATAAGGTTGCTATCTCCAGTGTTCTAGCTCGTGTTTGGTCATCCAAGCGTGGACGTGAATTACATGGATGGGCAATTAGGCGAGGAATGGAATGGGAACTATCTGTTGCAAATGCTTTGATTGTTTTGTACTCCAAAAGGGGACAATTGAGTCAAGCCTACTTCATATTCGATCAAATGCTCGAGAGAGATGTCGTATCTTGGAATGCTATTATCTCTGCTCATTCTAAAGATTCTAATGGTTTGAAGTATTTTGAGCAGATGCAGCGTGCTAATGCTAGACCTGACAGTATCACTTTTGTCTCGGTTCTATCACTCTGTGCTAATACAGGAATGGTCGAAGATGGGGAGAGACTGTTCTCTTTGATGTCGAAGGAATACGGAATAAACCCGAGAATGGAACACTATGCGTGTATGGTGAATCTCTATGGAAGAGCAGGAATGATAGAGAAGGCTTACTCAATGATTGTTCAAGAGATTGGTTTTGAGGCTGGTCCAACTGTTTGGGGAGCTTTGTTATACGCTTGTTACCTCCATGGAAATGCAGATATAGGAGAGGTTGCTGCTCAACATCTTTTCGAGTTGGAACCTGATAACGAACACAATTTCGAGCTGTTGATGAGAATTTATAGCAAGGCAAATAAAGCGAAGGATGTTGAGAGAGTAAGGCAGATGATGTTGGATCGAGGATTGGAGACATAAACTGGTCCAACTCGAAGGTACGTCCGAGTTTATCTTCCTAAATCAACCCATGTGATGCCATACTAAGTGCAGTGATCTTACACACATGAGACTTGTTAGATCATAGAGAAAATATCACATGACATGACATGTATGAACGCGTCTGGTTGCTTAGCTGTTACAAGTGACTTCTGGTTTCTAGATTATACTTTTTTACCGCTGCATTATTCAATTGATAAGCTCTTTCTCGTGACCAGTGTTACGTATGGTTTAGTAACATGGGTTTAGTCACTGGTCACGTGCATCAGGGCCTACCACTTGCATATTTAGAAAGCTAGGACCAAAATAAGTTGTCTAGAAAGAATCATAAAATAATGTGAAACTGTGTAGATGAAGACAAAACTGTTCCAGCTCTTATCCTCTGTGATTGATATACATATTGCTTCGTATTTATTAGCGTTTCAACCAACTCGCATTTTTGCATTAAAAGAGAAATAATGCTTTGTGTCTAAGGATTTAAGGATCACTGTATCTACTGCATTCACACATACTTCAGTTCTCTCTCTATAAAACCCTGGACCCTTTTGCTGCTATTCCCATTTCCAGTTGACCCATTTGTGTTTGGAACCCAAAATGGCGAAATGTTTAGATCTTTCTTTTATTTTCTTTGTTCTATATGTCTTCACCGCAGCAATAGCTATGGCCAGAAATCTTGAGGAGGAATCAAGTGGTGATACAGAGTTCGTTAAAGCCTCTTGTGAGATAACGACGTACCCGGACATATGTTTTCGTTCTTTGTCTTCATATGCAAGCGAGATCAAGAAACGGCCACGACAGCTTGCTGAGACAGCGCTTGCTGTTAGCATGGCCCGAGCAAAGACAGCCAAAACCTATGTCTCGGAGATGGCTGACTACAACGGAATCACAAAGAGGCAGCACGGGGCTGTCTTGGACTGTGTAGAAGAGATGGGAGATACTGTTGACAGGTTGAGCAAGTCGCTGAAGGAACTGAAGCATCTGGAGGAAGGCGAGAGCGGACAAGACTTCTGGTTCTGTTTGAGCAATGTGCGGACGTGGACAAGCGCGGCTCTGACAGATGAAACCACGTGTTTTGATGGGTTTGGAGGGAAAGCCATGGATGGGGAGCTGAAAACGTTAATCAGAGCACACATTGTGCGTGTGGCGCAAGAGACGAGCAATGCCTTGGCTCTAATCAATGACTTTGCTTCCAAGCATTGAAAATTTCTCTTGGATTTAAAGAAATGCATTTTGCTTTGGTTCTGAGTCATAGATGAGTGTCTCTTGTATCATCTATGGTCCACATATAGATTGAAGGTGGTGATGTTGAATTATAATAGAATTGTTTGTTATGTTGAGTATATTTGCAGTTCCCTCTTTTACACCTCTCAACTTTCAAAGTCATCTTCAATGATCATCTGAGCCAGTGATGGGACTAGCCACTTCAATCCC